CAATGGATAGTTCATTTCCCAGTGACCTTGCGGGCGAAGCCGCGGGTAACAGCTAGTATCACCCATATTTGGAATTTCAATTGCCTATCATCCAGATGATGAAATGATGTGATAGTGTTTCATATGCTATGACTATTTATTAAAAAAACGTGACCCCCACACTAGGATTTTCTCCTGTTTCATGAAAGTGTTTTGCACATTTCCATTTAGAGATCCGCGGCCCCAATACGTACCCGTGGCTGTAAAACAATCTTAATTTATTATTAAGAAGTAAATATCACTTAACTTTGCAGGTTTCGGTCATTGGCTTTAGTAGGATGGACTAATATTTCACTTATATAACTTTTTGTCACCGAAAATAAGACAAAAAAAAAGAATCTCCAAAATATTCTCAACTTAATAATTGCTTAAGCTCAGTAATTATTCCAAATGAAACGAAACTGATCAAAACTAAATAGGTAATTTGAGTCACCATTATCGTTATTACAGCCCGTCGCAAGTCTACTTCTGTACTTAAGTCCATCCCACTGCATAAAAAAGAGTCAACGAGAATATATGAGAATTATCGCACAGTGGCTTTGAAATCTCATGCGAACAAGATAATGCTGTATGTACTCAAGAGTAGATTATAATCCCATCTGCACCGGAAAACACTCAGTGAACAGTCGGGATTTGTTAAAGTACGGGGCAAAAGAGAACAGATCGTGAACGTGAGACAAATAACTGAGAAAAACCTTGAGTTCAATATAACTGTGATTATGTGCTGCTATAAGATTGAAATTCTATGGGTTTTAATCCGGGAAATGGGCGTACCTCAACACCTCATAGTATTGATTGCAAATCTGTACCATAAAGGCGAATCCATGGGTATCAATGACGTCATCTTTAGAACTTTTAAGCCGAAAACCCCTTGTAAGGCAAGGATGTATCCTGTCTCCTATTCTGTTTAACATCTATAGGGAATACTTAACGAGAAGGACTCTAGAAGGATAGGAGGGAAGAATTTCAATTGGGGGTAATAAGATCAGCAACCTCAGATATCCGGATGACACCACACTTTTTGCAGCATCGGAAAAAGAACTCGCTTAACTCTTTCGCAGATTAGAGGTAGAGAGTGGACTGGATTGAGTATTAACAATTCCAAAACAAATGTTATGCTGATTGACAGAACCGGTCAACTTTCCAGGACTGGAGGACACTCAGACCTAGGATTTGTGAATGAGTCTGTGTACCTCAGATTGCTACTCACGGACAGATTAGGAAGTGAACATGACATAAGAAACAAACAAATTGCCAAAGGTGCAATAAGTATATTGAAAGGAATTTGGCAGAATAGGAAAATCTCTAGTCCTCCTCCATCTTCTTTTATGGCTCTAAATCAAGGACGATTCGAGCAGCAGACAAGCAAAGAATCGATTCGATTGAAGTATGATATAAGAATCGATTCGTTTGAAGTTGACTTGATCCATCCTTTCAAATCTATGCGAGATATCCTCCGATAACGAACCTTTATACTTATAGTTGAAGAGGATTGGATAAACCGCAAGTGCATATCAATATTGCAAATAGTACTATAATTTGCGAAGCAGAGTGACACAGCACGGCCTTTTCCATTGTGGCATCCCGCTTGTAGAAAAGTTTCAAGTTCTTAGCCGTCAACTGTTTTAGATTCACGAAGTTGGTGGGGACCCTGTACTACATTCAGCAGCATTCGCAAACAGTAACATTTGAAGTAACTAGCATGCACTATGTAAATGCGTCCAAGAGCATCTCCTGCCTTCGCACCTGGTCAGTCGTTGACAGGTGTTCCTTGTAAACGGCGTTTCCTATTTTTCGACGACTCGTTCTTTTATAGTAGCGGGATACGTCGACATAAAATAATGTTTTTGCAAATGCTTCATTTTAGCAAAGCAGGTAAAATATAGTTAGTGTCGTCTTAGGTGGTGCGGCCATTCTCTCTCTGTAATAGTTTTCGTTGAAGTAAATCCGCTGACCATTGGGCAGATGAACCGCAAGGTGAGTGACTGTTGGGTGTCTCTCATGCAGAGGCAGACCCAAGATCCGCCACACTGCTTCGTAACTGCTAACATATCGACCGGCTCGAAACGTTTGCACCTCATCTCTCGGTCCAATATTAACTTTCCCTTGCTGTCTAATGTTAAAAATAGCCTGGTCGCTGCTTTTGTTTATATATATATTACATATATATATATATATATATATATATATATATATATATATATATATATATATATATATATATATGTATAAATGTATTCTATTGCCTGTACTGTATTGCAGAACTCTACATTTATATGTGTATGGTTACACCACACATTTTTATTTAGTAAACGCTGCAACCTACTTTAAGCCGCGCGTTGCGTGTACTTAAATTTACTTTTTTAATTGTAAACTAACAATCGGCAGTACGTCAACAACCGTTCTTCGAAACACCAACTACTCAAGGAATCTTTCTTTGAGTGCCACTCTAACTTTATAACTATTTAACTTTAAATGAAACCTTTACTTTGGTAATCTTTTCCTTTTGACGTGCTCATCAACTAACTATAACTCTACTTCTTAAAAGTTTGTGACCTTACAAACCATACAATATGAGAATTTAAAATTTTAGAGAGAAGAGGAGAATATGGGACAATCCAGCTATTGTCAAATAATACCGCCTGTGTTTCACCCCGTGTTTTTAGAATTATCGTACGGCTACCATTTTCTGGTGCTCTACGTCTGTATAGAAGATAGCCTTTGTCATTAGTTTGAGTATCTTTTAAAAGCGCTCTTGGATACTTTTTGGTGCATTTTCCTTCCTTCAGGCATGGTGATGACGAATTTAGTGCATCACAGTAACCGTGAATCATATTTTTGGTTACGGTATCGTAAAGTTTTCGATCACTTTCTGGGTTTAGTATCTTCGCACTTATGACTGACGTCAATTTTGATAGGGCGTAATTTTTCCGGCTTGTTTTTGCCACTCGATCAAGTACATGAAGCACTTCATGTCTCCAAATATTTTACCTTTTGTAAGCAGAGCAACCAATTTTTGAACTTTTATTTTAAATAATCTGGCTGTTAAGTCATGTCTGTCCGTTGAATTTTGGCCTGGAATGAGCTCTTTAGTAATTGCTGGCCAAGAGGGATTACACGTCATTGTAATAAACAGATCAGGCCTTTCGTTGTTACGCACGTATGTGAACGCATCCTGCGTGTACTCATGAAGATATCTTTGGCTATTTACAAATGACGACAGGAGTATTACCATTTAACCCAAGTTGTTTTGATCTAAATCCACATCATTCCTGATCGCGTCTTGTCAATGTATATAGTTTTCTGCTCGCTGTTTCGTTTGGTTTAAGGTAATAAACCTTAAGCGCTCACTCTCCACTTTTACATACATGTCCACCAAAAACTGAAGAAGGAGAAATCTACATTGAAGCAATAAATTAACAGTGTTGCGACGTACCATCATATGATACGCACAAAAGTCTTTGCACGACACTTTTTTGTTCGGTATGGGTTGTTTTGTAACTGGGTTTGTCTGAGGAATATCAAAACTGTACCCCTCTTGTCCCTTCCAAAAATTATCGGGTAATCTAGAGCATCATAAAATTTATGAGTGTCCGGAACTCTAGTGAGCCGGCCATCGTGCGCCTGAATAACAATGTCCCGAGACGCAGTTTGTTCACTACTAACTACTACGGCGGCTATTTCGTTTGTTCTCGGGTCATTGAATCGTCTTTCATGTTCACCACGTGGTACACGATCTGGGTGTATCACAACCTTGTAATTATCGCAAGTTACTCTATCTTGCGCATCATGTATGCACTGTACCGGTTGCCAATTTATTATTTCCTCGAAGATTTTACAATTACAGAGGTCCAGTCCTATATAATCTAGCAAACAAAGTATTAAATATATTTCCGTTAAATAAGAGAGAGACAAAAAATTCTTTAACTAAATGGCTTAAATCATTAGACTACGAACATACAGAAACACTATTTGAACGTATTGTTTAAATATATATATTACACACTTACAAACCACAGATATACACACCGACACATTAATATCACTTAATAGACCTACCTACCTTTATTAGTATTTAAAACCAGTTTTTTCTTTTTTATGTACACCGAAAATATTTTAATTATTTTTAAACAGTTTCTCCAACAACGTTTGAACAAGTCTATTTTAATGTACTTTTGTTTACAAGTAGTTGTAATGTTTATTAAAAGTTACAGCAATATCACTTCTGCTGACGGAGGGGCCTGGTGATCCCATAGCACAGGCCAACCTAGTTTGGGCACCAGTCTCCCACCTAGATCTTATTTAGTTAGTATTTATAGCTGTTATTTAGTTGTATAAGTTTACTATTATTTAGTGTATTGAAAGGTACCGATAATATGTGGGAGAAAATAAATACTACTTATTACTATTATTATCTTTAGCCATTTTAAATTAATGCACTAAAACGTTGTGTTCATGAAGAGCATTTTATATTTTTTGAACTGTGTTTTTTTCCACACCTGGTACGTACTCGGAACGCTTATCAACTTGTGCTTCCTCATTACCCATGAAATAAAATAACGCCCTTGGATTTTAAAAGTCGGGCAAAATCCTGGCATCGACACAATGTTATCAGCTCCAAAATATGTCATATGGAAGCATGTATTGTATTTCCTTATGTTTTTAGAAAACGACGAGACTCATCAGTTTCATTTGAAAAAAGTTCTTTGAGAGGTTCAACAGGCTCGTCTATTGAAGGAAGAGCTACTTTTCAACAACACATGTCTTCTTTCTTCACTTCCTTCCTTCTTGTAAATAATAGTCGTCGCTGTTGTGCCCTTCCAGCAACAGCACATTTGCGAGCTTCAGCAGCTTCAACGGTTTCTGTAGCTTTTTGAGATGCCATGTAAGTGTGACTTGAGAGTTCCGTCAGCCCGTTGAAATGCTAGATACTGAGCATGCTGTTGACGCCGATCTTGGGACTATTCTGGTGTCTCATTAGTCCGTTGAGATGCTAGATATTCAGCATCCTGTCGACGCTGATCTTGGCACTGTTCTGGTGTCTCATTAGTCCGTTGAGATGCTAGATACTCAACATCCTGTCGACGCTGATCTTGGCACTGTTCTGGTGTCTCATTAGTCCGTTGAGATGCTAGATACTCAACATCCTGTCGACGCTGATCTTGGCACTGTTCTGGTGTCTCATTAGTCCGTTGAGATGCTAGATACTCAACATCCTGTCGACGCTGATCTTGCGACTGTTCTGGTGTCTCATTAGTCCGTTGAGATGCTAGATACTCAACATCCTGTCGACGCTGATCTTGGCACTGTTCTGGTGTCTCATTAGTCCGTTGAGATGCTAGATACTCAACAGCCTGTCGACGCTGATCTTGGCACTGTTCTGGTGTCTCATTAGTCCGTTGAGATGCTAGATACTCAACATCCTGTCGACGCTGATCTTGGCACTGTTCTGGTGTCTCATTAGTCCGTTGAGATGCTAGATACTCAACATCCTGTCGACGCTGATCTTGGCACTGTTCTGGTGTCTCATTAGTCCGTTGAGATGCTAGATACTCAACATCCTGTCGACGCTGATCTTGGGACTGTTCTGGTGTCTCATTAGTCCGTTGAGATGCTAGATACTCAACATCCTGTCGACGCTGATCTTGGGATTGTTCTGGTGTCTCATTAGTCCGTTGAGATGCTAGATACTCAACATCCTGTCGACGCTGATCTTGGCATTGTTCTGGTGTCTCATTAGTCCGTTGAGATGCTAGATACTCAACATCCTGTCGACGCTGGTCTTGGGAATGTTCTGGTGTCTCATTAGTCCGTTGAGATGCTAGATACTCAACATCCTGTCGACGCCGAGCTTGGTACTGCTATGGAGTCTCGGCAGCTCTGTGAGCTGCCTCACGCTCTGCCTGTTCAAGCTTTCGTAGTGCGGCTTGTGGAAACGTCTCGTTAAGTCTAGCTTCTTTCATAGTTCGAGCTTTATTAGAGCTTTGGGAAAGATTAGACTTATGCTTTCGCAACATAATTCTTAGTACGCGCTTTTTCTACACTTCCAAAAAACATGTTACGGTTGTTATTACTAAGATTGTTATACTTTAAAATGCAATACTATATTTAATTAAAATTATAGCTAAATTATAGACAAATATATATATATATATATATATATATATATTTATATATATATTACCGCCTCACCCGCCGTGCATCAAAAGCAACAAATGTTTCATAAATATTCTAAAATCTGAATTATAATAAAGTGTCACATTTAATTGTATATAACGGCCTCCACATGAAAGGTAGATTTATGCTGTCGCGGAAATTTATTTTGAACTACTTGAGACAAACAATCCCAAGGTATATTATCTTCGTGTAACTCTAACGGTTTAGGCAGCGCACGCCAAGATAGCTCTCAGAGGGCAGGAAGTTTTCCAGATACTTATCGTTATATTACGGCCAAATTGCACAAAATCTTTATAAGTTGTCACCTATGTGTTATTTTGAGGTATAAACTATATTACTGTAACATTCCATCTAAATCTGTTCAGTAGTTTTTACGTGAAAGAGTAACAAACATCCATCCATCCATACTTACAAACTTTCGCGTTTATAATATTAGTAAGATTACCTTTTCATCGTTTTACGTTTAGATCTACTACTTGGGCATTCTGTACATAGCCATTGATTTTGATTACACAAAAGATTATTACGCGCTTTGAGACTTTCATCTATACTCTGAAAAGTAACGTCAAATTTATTTTGACTATAGCAGAGACTACTAGGCTATAGGTTATATAATATTATCAATCAATTGTAAACAGGAAGATTTGTAGAGAAAATAAGTTAAGTTTGCATTTCGCTATCATAATACGATAGTTATTTTACAGCATTTTATGTGATAATACTTGCGAGTACGTTTTGGCACTCATTTAAAGGTATGATCAATCAATTATAAAAACAGAAAACGTTACCAATTCCACCTTTTTATCAAAAAATCACGAGTAAAGATAAAAAATAACGACTTTGTCACTTAGAGAAGACATGAATTTGAGATATTTTGTAATTTTTTTATAATAGCAATGATTGTGGAGATAGATTTCCCATTATATCTACTGTGGATATTATATGAACCAGTAGACCCATGCTCGAAGGATGGATATAACTGAGCAAGGGATAAACATTTTATTCTTTCCCCGATGATATTCATTTATTGATAAAATATAAGCTTACAGTATATACAACCAAATCGCTTATATCTATATAAGTAAGATAAAATACACAAGAATAAAAATCACCAATTATTAAATTTCCATACACAATATAAATTACAGCCACAACAGTATAATGAGATCTATTTACTGTATCATAAATTAAACTTATTTACCTAAACATATACTATTCTACTATCTTACAAAGTTGTTTAAGAATATTAATACGTTTTTATACATTACGCTGGGTTTGTCAAAAAATATATCTGCGTCTGGATTGGCCCTGAGAAAACAGTTTATTAGTCTAACGGCTCTGGAAGTGGGACTGTTATCTACGTGTGGGGAGCGCCACGTACGCGGACAGGAGAGGAGTCTACGCTTACGTCTACCAACACCTCGCACATAATGGTCCGGTACATAAAGATGTATGGTCTCACGAACTGCAGGATTATCTACTTTGTTACTTAACAAGAAATAATAATGCATTATATGCATAAGTTCCCGCCTACACTGTAGGGTATCCAGACCAACCATGCCCGATACAAATGTTGACGGATATAGAAATGGGTAGTATCCATACTGGCGTTTATACAGATATCTGGCAAACTTACGTTGGATTTTTTCCACCATCATTGTATACATGATTTCTCGGGGGTTCCATACTAGGGCGTTATACTCTAGCTTACTTCGCACGTAGGCATTATACAGGAGTTTTATCACACGGACATTTTTAAACTGATGCGAAGTTCTTATTATGAAACCTAGATTTTATTCGCTTCTTTGCACGTTTTAATAATATGTTCATGGAAATTCAATTTACTATCCATGATTAGGCCTAGATCGCGAATTGAATGGACACGTCTTAATGGAGTGCCTGCTAGCTGGTATGTCGCTGTGATTGGATTGCGTGACCGAGAAAAAGTTAGAGTCTTACACTTTGAATTATTAAGGGGCAACTTGTTTTTTACACTCCATTCAACCACTGCGTCAATGTCGCGCTGTAATGCCATACAGTTCTCAGCTCCGGTCACTGCATGGAAAAGTTTTATATCATCAGCGAACATTAAGCATTTTGCCCTTGAGATATTACTGGGCAGATCGTTAATCATTATTAAGAAATAGAGTTGGACCGAGCGTACTACCTTGACTCACACCCGAGCGTATGTAATATTCTTGAGAAATATAACCTCTTAGCTTAACAAATTGCTTTCGGTCTCTAAGATAATCTGCCATAAATTTTAAAAGTGGTGTAGAGAATCCAAGCATTGCGAATTTCAATAAAAGGATATCATTATCAACAAGGTCAAACGCCTTCTTAAAATCAAAATAGGCTGCGTCGACTTGACAACTTGACTTAACCCGAGTGATCACGTAGTCCACAAACTGTATATGATTCGTTAAAGTAGAACGTTGCGGCCGGAATCCATGTTTACAGTTATCTAGAAGCCCACCTATTTGTTTATAAATGGAATTGTTTACAATGGATTCAAACACCTTGGCAAATACTGATAACACCGCGATAGGCCTGAAGTTAGTTACATCAGTGGACGAACCACTTTTAGGTACAGGAGTTACCCTGGACACTTTCCATGCATTGGGATAGAGGCATTGTTGAAGTGAGAGATTGTAGACATACAGTAATGGTTCCGCTAAAACTGCCATACAGTCCTTTATTAAAAACGAAGGTATGTTATCAGGGCCACAAGCTGCCGATGCCTTAAGACGGCGTATTGCCCATCGTAGATCTGAAGCTTTAATAATATTAATACTGACTTTGGTTACACAGTCCGCGTACATTGCATCGCGTTTCGCTGCTTCTACATTTAACAATGGAGTATCAGGTTGAAAAACTGAGCTGAAATACTGCGCGAATGCATCAATAGCTTGCTGCCCTTCTAAAATTCTATTATTATACACAAATTCCTTATTCTGTTGTCTATTCTTTCGTTTTTCTTTCACGTATTTCCAAAAATTTGAAGGTTCGCGTGCTATATCATTTTCAACTTTTATCATATAATTTATAGATGCTGTATTAATAAGTTTTTTTTACTTTGGTTCTATAATATTTAAATAACGCCTTATTAAATTCCAAGCCACGACTGTTAAACATTTTTAAATTAAAATATTTCAATTTTATGTATTTTATGATTTCTTTAGTATACCGTTTTGGATATATTTATATTTATGATTGGTAGTTAAGGATTTATTGGGAACTCGTCTACTAATGACTTTATTAAGCTTATTATATAAGATCTCTAAAGCTACATTTACCTCCTGTTGGTTCATTAGGTCCGTCCAGTCCAAGTCATTTATATCAGTGTACAACCCACAGAGATCTGCTTTACGGAAATTCCATTCTGTGAAAAGGTTCTGACATGGTGGAAATGGTATAATTATTGCAGCTCTTGTTGGTAGTGTAAGCAGGATCTCTAACGGAGGGTGATAAGCATCAATAGGTACCAATGGTTCAACTTCGAATGACACAGTACAACTTCCGGAGTCTAGATTAGTCAATACCAGATCCAAGATGCATCCATATTTATTACAAACATTATTACATTGCTGTAAGTTGCAACATTTTAAGAAATTATGAAACTGAGTTTGAACTGATTTATTACAAGACCTTAAGTTGAAATCACCAACAATCAAGAATTTACAGTCAGAATATGTGATAATGGCATTTTCTATATAATTTAATGCATCAAGATATTGCTTGTCATTGTAGTTAGGTGGTAAATATGCAACACACACTAAGAGTTTAATATTTTTCAACGTTAAAAGAGTAAATAACAATTCTTTATCATCAGTTAAACCATCTATGTTCGTAATTCTTTTAAAGGTAAAACTATTCTTTACTGCTAAGAGAACACCATCCCATCCGACGTTACCTGCCCGATCCTTCCTTAGCACAATATACTCGGGAGGGAACAGTTCAGAGTCATATACAGAATCGTTGAGAAAAGTTTCAGTAAGGATGACAAGATCACTTGATATTAAAGACATATTATTATGGAAAGTAACAGTTTTTGTGCGTAGACCTCTTACATTTTGATAGTACAATAGTATTTTTTTAGATCGTACTTTATTACTACGTTTATTCTTTTTTTTTTGCGGGCTGTTCTATACGAGAAAAAACTTAGTACTTTCTACTTGAGGATTGGTCTTTTGAGGTGTGATTATTTTAGTATAACCATAGTAGTTATAGTCGATATTTATATTATCTAGTATATTTTTGTAAATATGTTGTATTCTCTTTTTTATTGATTTTCCCAGTTTTAAATGAGTACATGTCAAATGAAGTTAAGAGATTGGAATCATAAAAGTATGCATAATGATTGTTTTGTAATTCCAAATACATTAATTATTAAATAATTCTATTTTATAATTATATATTGGTGATCCACATACGTATGTAGGAGCACATAGAATTATATTAGTATGAGAAATATGGTGTAATGCTTCCCTTATGGTTTTTACTAACGTTATACAATCACATGTAGTTCTAAAATCTCTTTCACCTATCATAATAATACAATAGTCCCACATATCGTATCCATGCAATTTTTTATCAATATTCTGGAGTAAATATTTAATATTACTATTCGGCGAGAAATAGCGGATGTAGTCAAACTGTTTATTGAACGTAGCATCAACAGCTGACAGCGTACCCCAGGATGAGCTGTTAGTCAGGATACACAATTTGGGTCTCTTACTTTTATCAATTTCTGAGTTTAAATTAATCGTGTGCTGAATTAGCGAGGATTCTTCGAATTCTTTAGCTTGGACTACCTTTTGAAGGGTTATAATTTGATTATTAAGGTCCGCTATTTCATTTTTGGCTGACTTCAGTTGCAGCTCGAGATCTTTAAGATTCTGCTCGAGGGTTAGGATGTTCCTGTTAGAGAATTCCTCTGTCTTGTTGTCACTGAATGCCCTGGGCGGTGTGGCTATTATATTTACATCTGAATATCGTGGGAAACTTCTAATTTTATTTTTTGGTGCTACAATTTGATTTACTTTTCTTTGGCGGTGTTTTGGATAGAAAAGCCTTTAATGTGTTATTTTCCTTGATAAGATTGGTCACTTGTGAACGGAGGTCGTTATTGTCTAGAATAATGTTTTCAAGTTCATTTTGTGTTGTGGCAAGGTCCATTCGTAGCTGTTCTATGATGTCTCTCATGTCCTGAATAGAGACAACTTCCGTCATTGTGTAATCCATACTTTTTGATAACAAGGTTTCATCAATAGTTAGACCATCGGAAAAAATGTCTGTAGTTTCTTTTCCTGATTCTGTGCTAGCTGGAGTAGATACTGGTGTGGTCTCCTGGGCAGTATCAGAAGGTAGGATTACATTATCGCTAATATTGTGTACCAACATCTTCTTCCTCAATGTCACATTGCTCTCCTCGGTAGTTAATAAAGTTTGCACAGCTATTTTTTTATCGCATGATTTGCATTGCCATTTTTTACTCTTTTCTGGATTGCCAACACAAGAAAATTCAAAATAGTTTTTGCATAAGGTGCACACAATTGTGCTTTTATAATCGACACGATTTTTACATTTATAGCATGTAACATTTAATGACCTCTTGCGGCCGCTGTTGGTATCACTTCTAATCTTAGACGACATGGTTAGTTAATAATTAATTGATTGAACGGTAATGACATCAGTTTCTCACGACGCCTGCTAGATGTCGCTGAGTGTATGTATATGTCTAACAAAGAAACGCGCTGATTGGTCAATTCAATCGGTGGTAGTTCAAGTCGTAAGAAAAAACGATCTTTTTATTGCTTCACAACAACAAAAATATCTTTAGTGCACAGATATCAATATAAATAAGAAATAACTATTATCACAGAGAGAAAAATACTTATTTCTTATTGCTGTTACAACTATTGTTTACTAGTAAGACGTCAATATTTTTTTTAAGTTTGTAAATTTTGAAAACACTTACGTATTGTTCATAGCACAATTTTGTCCAAAGTTAGTTTCTGATCACATAAATAACATTCACACACAAAGGTTGCACATCAATATTTTAGCTTATAAACAGTTCACCACAATAATAACTAATCTTTAATTTTAATAGAAATAAAACTACGGAGCTGATGTAAACAAGATAGAAGATAATAGATAAAGATAGATAGAAGATAAATTATATCCTGCCCATGCTAGCTCTGCAGTACGTGTAGCCAGTGATGACCTATAGATATAAGACGTGGTATTTCACTGCTGGCCGTATGAGGATGCTCAAAGTCGCTCAGCAAGTTATAGAGAGGATTATGCTTTGAGTTTTTAAATGTAATAGTTTAAAAACGAGATAAACATTTTATTCTTTCCCCGAGATAAATTATATCCTGCCCATGCTAGCTCTGCAGTACGTGTAGCCAGTGATGACCTATAGATATAAGACGTGGTATTTCACTGCTGGCCGTATGAGGATACTCAAAGTCGCTCAGCAAGTTATAGAGAGGATTGTGCTTTGAGTTTTTAAATGTAATAGTTTAAAAACGAGGATATCCGCAGTTGAACTAGAGTAACCGACGTAACCCAACGGATAAGTAAGCTGAAGTGGTAATGGGGCGGCCATATAACTCGAATAACCGAGAACCGATGGTAAAGAAAGGTTCTCGAGTGGCAATCTCGTGTGAAGGGCTGTAATGATGATGATAATGATATTTAAATTACGACAACTTCATTAATTTCATGATAATAATATTTAAAAAATCCGCATCACTACTTTCGTTATTATTTCGTTAAGAGCGTTTTAAGGAATATTTCAGAATGATTATATAACATCTTAAATTCTTTATTAAAAATAATATTTCGAACAACGTTTCATTGCAGAACCGATGTAGGTACAAGTTGGCTCAAAATAAAGTCGACTAATTCAACGTTTAAAAAGTTCAACTAGTAAATGAAATTGTAATAAAGCATTCCTATTATTTTCTAAAATAATTTCCTTTAAGGTAAGATACAGATAAGAACATTTCTAATTTTCCATATATTGCCGTTCTACTGTTAGACTATTAACTTAATTCCATGGTCCCAAGAAGCCGGAAAACCGGCTTCTTGGGACCATGGAATTTTGACCATGGAATTGGAAGAAAGGACCATGCATTCTTGGGACACTTATTTCAGAGACTTATTATCAAATAGCACGCGCTTTTGCGCGTGCTATTTGATAATAAGTGTCTGAAAAATTTTCAGATCATTGATAAAAAATACAAGAGAGTAATAATGAATAATTTATTTAACTTTTTAAATTTACAAGTTAATTTTTGTCGCTACTTATTTGATATTTCTTATTTTGATTAAAACTAAACCTTATTATTTTTTCTTTCTTATATAAAATATCAATATTTTTATTGTGTATTTATGGGGATTTCACCACTAAAACACAATTTGAATTCATACCTTTTTTATTTATTGACAACTGTCAGATGTTAGTTTTATTCATAAGCCTACAATATGGCTTCCATACTCTACATTCTCTCCACCACTAAATATAAAAAACATAAGTAATGATAAAAATGTATAACTAATCATGTAATTTTTTAAAATTTCGATTTCTAGTTGAGCGGGGAGGCAACCCTTGCATTGGTACCTCTAAATGTTGATTGGATTTACTGCCAGAACTTTCGCCCTCTTCTCCTCTTAATAACAAGGAGTCGGAAGTTATGATATCAACTTCTGTAGCCTTCACGTTACAATTAGCTTGATCTGTATTCAACATATTAGAATTTTTTTCAAAATTACTCAAATCTAAATCATATTCTTCATTTTTATTTCCTTTGTATGCAACAATATGATCGACATGTTTCTTATAATATTTATTTAACTCCGGAACAAAAACAGTAAATAATCTATTTCCTAATTTATTTTTAACTACGCCGCAACTTCCACGTGTAATCGTTCCCGTTGTTGTAAAAAAAACTTAACTAAAACTTTATCCTCTTTGTTAAAATTGCTCTTTCTTCGTCCATCATAGTTTTCACTCTGTAAGATCTGTTTATTTGCAACGTTATTGGTTGTGGATGATAAAGATGTATCATTTGTGTTCTGCTCAAATTTGTGGTCCCTAAGTAAGTCAATTCGACAGCGGAGCGGACGGCCTGACAACAGCTGGGCAGGTGAGAAACCGGTTGTGCAATGAACCGAATTTCTGTAACTAAAAAGGAACTCATTTAATTTATTAATTATCGATTTTTGACCCGTATGTGTGTTTAAAATAATCCTTAATCCCCTTTTAACTATCTTAACGGTATTTTCTGCTTGCCCGTTTGATGCTGGGTGATATGAAGGAGAAGTTAAATGTTGTATACCATTTGACAAACAAAAATTTTCAAATTGTTTTGAACAAAAATTACTCACATTATCGGTTACCAGAGTGCGACATAACCCAAATCTACTAAAAATCTCTGAAAGTTTGCTGATAATTGCTTCACTATCTGTATTATTCATTTGAAAACATTCAATCCACTTTGAATGTGCGTCTACAATAATTAAAAATTGTTCGTTGGATAAAGAAAACATATCTAAATGAACTCGTTCCCAAGGACGTTTCGGAAATGGCCACGATGCCAGTGGAGAACGGGGTGGATCATAGCGGAGCGAGTTGCAAATACTACAAGATCCTATTATTTCTTCAATCTGCTTATCAATATTGGGTACCACCACGTACGCGATCTCGCTTCATTTTTAATCTTTACAATGCCAAAATGGGCCTTATGCAATTCTTTAAGTAGACATTGTTAAAAACGTTGGTATAACCACTTTATGTCCCCTTACATAGGCACCCATTTTCGATAGTTAAATCATTTTTACATTTAAAATATGGTTTAAGTACTCCGCGTTTTGCATTTTCAAAGGCCAGCCATTTATAACAACATTTATAATTTTACAGAGTATTTGATCTTGCATAGTTTCTTTCCTAATATCGATTTACCGTAATAGGTTTTAAAATATTATCGTTAATAAATTTAATAATTAAATTAGTTTTAATCATGTACAAGTTCGCGTAAATATTTTCAGAACAATTATTACTGAACATCGTGATAAAAAATCGGCAACATTATTTTCACTTTTGACATACTCTATCGTAAAATTGTATGCGGACAAAAATATAGCATATCGTTGAAGTCTATTCGCTACCATTTCAGGTATACCTTTTTTACCACCAAAAATTGACACCAAGTTTGTGATCAGTTCGCAAAATAAAAGGGGTTACGCGGCCGTATAAATAGTGGTGAAAATTTTTTATAGCAAAAATTATAGCAGTCGCTTCTTTTTGAATTTGTGCATAATTTCGTTCGGTATTTATGAGCGAACGCGATGCGTATGCCACCACTCGCTCAACGCCGTCGAGCTGTCGCTGAGCCAGCACTGCGCCGAGCCCGTTCGGCCCTGCATCAGCCGTCACTATTGTAATTATGTCGGGATTATAATGTGCCAACACCCTGTCAGACGCTAATTCATATTTGATTTTATTGAATACTTTTAAATGTTTTTCTTGCCACACCCACTTTACGCCTTTTTTTTAAAGTGAATGCAAGGGTGCTAATAAAGTCGATGCATTAGGCACAAATCCTCTATAATAATTAATAAGCCCTAAAAATGATTTCAATTCCGTGACATTATTAGGACATTTACTTTCTAATATTGCTTTCACTTTATTGTTTGACTTATGTAGTCCTGACTAATCTATGATAAAACCTAAATACTCAATTGAGTCTTTAAATAAATCGCATTTATCTTGCTTTAATCTAAGTCCTGATTCCTGTAATTTTCTAAGTACTTGATGTAATCGTTTTAGGTGTTCCTCTTTTGTTGGGGCCGTTATTAAGATATCGTCTAAAAATACGCAGACTCCCTCAATACCTGATAAAAGTTGATCAATTGTTTTCTGAAAAATACTTGAGGCGCATGAAATTCCGAAAACTAATCTATTATGACAAAATATACCGATGTGGGTGTTAATACACGTTAATACTCGTATCTTAGAATAATCTAACTCCAGCTGATTACAAGCTCTAGAAAGATCTAATTTTGAAAATTGGACGCCACCATGAAGCTTAGCAAATAAATCTTCTATTCGTGGAAGCAGGTAATTATCAGAGTAGAAAAATTTATTCAACGTCACTTCCGTCACGTGAATAATCGCCACATATTCGTATGTTACCGTCTGACCGAAGAACGGGTACGATCGGTGTCGCTACCTCTGAATAATCTACGCGCTCTAAAATACCTAAATCTAAAAGTTTATTTAATTCTAACTCAACTTTATGTTTCAAAGCTAATGGTACTGTTCTCGGCTTAAAAAACTTTAACTGAGCATCATTTTTTATTTTTAAAGTTACTTTATATTTATTAAAAGTTCCCAGCTCATCTGTAAACAACTGTGAATATGTTTCCTTCAATTCTTTTACTAAATCGTTATGTTCTAAGTTGTTACAGTTACCAATACACAGTTTCATATTAAAACACGTTATAAAATTACGACCCAACAGAACTGGTTGTTTTATATCTGTTTTTATAATATAAAAACGATTAATTTCAGTACGATTTTCATACGTCACCGGTAATAAACAATAGCCCAAATGAGATATTTTCGAGCCATTATAACAATTTAAAATAACGTTACAATGGTTTAATGAATAATTATTGTGAAAATATGATTGATAAACCATTTCCGGTAGAACAGATACAGCACTACCACTATCTATTTCACATAAAATTCGCTTTGACGCTATCGACACGACCAGTCTCATCGGCATACCGTTTAAACACCCGATATTATAAAAATCATATAATAATAATAGTTTATTTCTCTTGTTATTTACAATTTGCATAGGGTAGGGAGCATCTTTTAAGTACCTTAAGACACTTGTGTCAGAGACTCCCGCTCTTCCATAGCCAAACAAAACGTTCAAGAGACGTGAGATTACATAAAAAAATAATTATACAAAAAAAAAAGAAAATACAATATTCAAAAATAAATGTGTGTGCGTGCGTGCGTGCGTGCGTGTGTGCGTGCGTGCGTGCGTGTGTGTGTGTGTGTGTGTGTGTGTGTGTGTGTGTGTGTGTGTGTGTGTATGTGTATGTGTGTGTTGTGTGGTTTTCTCTCTCTCTCACCCTATGTGTCGAAACATAAGTTTTTCTGTGTCTTCGTAAGACAGGGTCTTTAGCCAATTTATAATCAAAATCTTGCAGTCCTTGGCATTTCTACAGTAAATATTAAGCTTTTTGTTGACAAAATTATATAGATAGATGTGGTTAATGAACTGACGTCTAGCGAATGCAGTTTTAACACAAAATGAATTAAGTACAATGTCTTTTCTTCTTTTGTTCAAAGTATTTGGGTCGAAAATCAAACCTTTATGCTTTTTTAATATTGTGTGCAAAATATATAATTTTCTTATACTTAGTATATCAGTTTTTAAATACAGGCTTTTAGTTGGGAATTTATAAGGCAAAAGGTACATTGTCTTTACTAAGGCACGTTGAGCTCTTTCTAATTGCAACAATTTTGTTTTTGTTGCTCCACCCCATATCGGAAGGCAGTAAGTTATTAACGATTGAGCTAATGCTACATAAATTTTGTTAATGAGCGTATCTGAAGTAATATGTCTTAGCGTTTTAAAAATCCAGGCTAATTTTCTAAATCTACATGTTATTACATCGATATGTTCATGCCAAGTTAAACGTTCATCTATAATGATCCCCAAGTACCTGGTTGAAGAAACTTTCGTAATGACAGAACAGTTACAATTTTGAACTTCGTCAATGTTGCAAATGTGTATCTTTATGTTAAAGTTACTTCCTGGTTGAGGAGCTCGGTTTTTAATAGTAAAACAAATATAATTAGTTTTAAGTGCATTAAACGTTAGAAAATTTGATTGAAGCCAGCTTGCAATTATAGTAAGACCAGATTCTGTATTTTTACGAATCTCATCCCACGATGCTCCAGTAAAAACTACAGCTGTGTCATCGGCATATGTGAACACACGGGCACCATTAATTTTCAGATTACATAGATCATTGATATAAATTAGAAAGAATATTGGGCCTAAAATACTACCTTGTGGTACGCCGTAAGTGGTGTATGTGTCCTCACTAATAAACTGTCCTACTTTAACTTTTTGTGTACGGTTAAATAAGTAATTCTTAAACAATGTCAAGGTTGTGTCTCTGATGCCGATGTTTTCTAATTTTTGTAAAAGGATGGGGATAGAGATAGCATCAAAGGCCTTTTTAAGGTCTAGAAAAACTGCAAGACATTTTTTACCCTGATCTAAATTGTTAATTATATACGAGCTAAGAGCTAAGATTGCATCTTCAGTGGATTTACCTTGTCTGAATCCATACTGATAGTCAGACAAGATATCGAACTTAGTAAGATAACTTAATAATCTTGTGTTGATAAGCTTTTCCAATATCTTAGAAAGTGAAGGTAGTACTGAAATAGGTCTGTAGTTGCTAACATCACCTCTATTCCCATTCTTATACACTGGTGTTATAACAGCTTGTTTTAAAGGTTGAGGAAAAACGCCGTGCTTAAAACAAATGTTTACAAAGTGACAGATTATAGGAGTAATTGGAGTTACTGCAAGTTTTAGAAAATGCGCTGGAATATTATCCCATCCAGGAGCACTGTTTGATTTTAGGCTCATGATAACACCATGTACCTCGTAAAGATCTGTATCCAACAAGACAAAGGATGAAAGCTGTGGTTGTCCAACCAGTGTTATACATTTACTATTGTTATTTCTAGTTAATATATTTTGGCAAGATTTTTGCCTACATTGGCAAAGAAGTTATTAACATAATTTACCGAATCTAATGGTGTTGCTTTTGCTTGTAATAAATCTGTATTACTAATTTTTGTTTGATTTAAATGCGCTATTCTTTTAATATTTCTCCAAAGACTTTTACTGTTATTGAGAGACATCTGCAGGACTTGTCTTTCATAACTCTGTTTTGCTTTTTTTATTATTTTAGTACAAAAGTTACGATATCTCTTATACATAATTTTTTGAATTTCATTGTAAGGATCGGAATGCAACTTTTTTTGCAAATTATTGCGATTTTTAATACAACGCACAATGTCAGGTGTTATCCAAGGTTTTAAAATGCGTTTATTTTTTGGAAGATGCACAATCTTTGTATTTTCTCGTAATGATTTGCTCAATTTATTAACTAACATCTCTATAACTGTATGTGGATTGTCACAAAAAAGTAATTCAGTAAGATTATTTTGTAATAAGCTGTTAAAGGCACTTTTATAATCTGTAATTGTTGTTATATTTGTGCAATCATTTATTAATTTTAAGTTAGATAGGTTTAGTAGTATCATTGAGTGATCAGTAATTGTTGTAAGTAAGACAGCAATTTGAGCATAGACCTTACTTTGTGTTAGCTTTAGAATGAAGTGATCTAGGCAACTGGTTTCTCTTGTGGGTAAGTAGTGACCGGGTATTAAGCCGTGCATACTTAACATATTTAAATAATTTTCTCTGTTACTACTACGTTTTGTTACTGTTGTTACTACTACGTTCATACGAATTTTCATTTATTTTAGATGCAATGTTAACGTTTATGTCGCCAGCTAAAATCATGATTTCTTTTGATTTTATGTTTTCTAAATGCAAACTTAACGAATTAATGAATTTATTGGCGTTTGTATTTGAATGAGAGCAGTATACTCCCAAGATTGTATTGTTGTATACATCTATTTGTAAGCATGAAGCGTGTTCTAATTTAACTTCTTTAACCTTAGCATTTATAGTATTTTTGATATACACTACTACTCCATCACTCTGGTTGAGGTGACAGGTTGTAGCAAAATGAGTGTAGTTAGTAATGCATGGAATTGTTTTGTTGAGGCTTAGTCGGCATTCAGTCAAAATCAAAACATCAGGTTTAAATTTTAAAAAAAGTATAGTGTTAAATTTAGGTCATCTATGTTACTATACATACTTCTTATATTTTGAGATATTATGGTTAAATCATTATTTTTCATAGTAATGTAATTTGAGAGGTCTTCAATGTTGCACTCAATAGCGTTTGAAATTTCAATTTTATCCAATTCTTTCCAGGTAATTAAAGAACTGTCCATTTCAAAAGTAGGCGTATTAACTGTCGTCTATATGTGTATACATATGTGTAAATACCTAATATATGCATTATAATGTATATATTTATAGATAAAAAGATATGTTTGCATCCTAATATGTAAATTGCTTTTCTTGTATACGGTTCTAGATTATTAGAATTTTTCATTTTAAGAGTGAGCTGTATATTAATGATAGTATTATACATGATCATTTTTGTGATAGTGAAAGTGATAGGGTTTTAATAAATGCAAGTGTAAGCTGTGTGTAAGAATGTATAAGTTGTGTGTAATACATATAAGAACTGATGATTTGTGAATTAATTACAATGCTTAGAAAAAACTTACGAACTAAAAAGAGATATAGAAAAAAATAAAGTAATTTCATTATTTATAAAAAATTGCGCGTTCTGTTCTAGTCATGCGGTATGCAATAACTGGTGAACCTGGGCTTCGTTCTTTATGGTTATTATTTGAGATGTCTCATCTTTGCGAACATAAACTTTTCCGTAGGCACTCCAACAAAATTTGTATTTTTTTGTTTTTACAAGATCTCGAGCTAGGAAGTGTAATCGTGTACTTTTAGCAGTTAGATGATCGGTTATGTATATGGGAATATCTTCAGCCGTACGAAAGCCAAGGTGTTTTGCACAAAGTTTAGTTTTGTGCCTGTTATTAAAAGATTTTACCATTTTTAATATGTTACTTTCTAAGTCTCTACCACAGTGGGAGTATTGCGGATATTTTCTCTTTTACTACGAATACGATATATATCTTTTATATCTGCTTTGTTAAGATTACTCTCAATACTTTTGGATAAGCACATTGCCATGTCTATTAAGTCCTCTTTAGATTCATTAACTTTTTTAGGAACGTTTTTCATTTCAAAATTCATCTTACGGCTTCCCATTTGCATATCCTCAATTCTATCCTCCAGTATCGTTATATATTTCCTGTCTTCTTTTATTTGGTTTTCCAAATATTCAATTTTCTTCCTAAACTCCTCATTTTGTGCAGTAAGAAAAGTAATAGAGCTCTCGAAGTTTTGGTTTGTTTGTTGTATATTCTTTAATGTAGGTGTAATTTTTTTAAAGTTCTTGTTCTTGCGGGACAAGTAGAGTAGCTATCATTTTCTTAATTTCATCCTTGAAGTTATTCAATTCTATTGAAATGTCATCATCCCTACGGCGTTTGCTACGCATCGACACAAATTTAGGTGGCGTGTTCTCTCTTTGTCCCGCTTGGCATAAATCAGCTTCAGAGAAGGATTTATCCATATTTGAGTTTGGTAAAAGACTATAAATCTTGTCTAGTATAAGTAAATCACGAAAGTAAAAATCACTTAACGTAATGTGTGCGGGCGCCCTTATTTTGTCGACGATTGTCTTATTAAATCAAATCGCAGTCACAATACGCAAAACGAAATATGTTTCCAGTGAGACGAGTTTAAACTCACACCGATAGGCGAAACACAAAACAAAGGTACCTTTAGTCGGATAATATGATGTGCAATAATTACCAATCAGGTAGAAGAAGGAGGAGCTATTTAATTGGCATACGCACAATATTGAATGAATTAAGTAATACTGTCTCCTTTTGATCTGTTTAGGTACTAGGACTACCGACGTTACTTTGCACATTCATTGAATTACACTGGTACTCTTCACTATTGTTTTCGTTGTAAATTCGTAAAACAAATAACACTCACGGAAACGGGGTACCAGGGCCGCAGAAGCGTTGAATTATTAGACGTTTTGTTGTACAAGCAAATACGATGTTGCTAACAGTCACAGAAACAGGGGTACCAGGGTAGCAGAAGTGTTAAGTTCTTCGACGTTTTTGTCTTGTAAAATTATAATCTCCTATTATTTCAAACTGATTTACTTGGTAGATTTAACTTTGCTATTTTTTTTAAATTAAGTTAACACTGACTTAAGTCACGTCTACACCTTGTGGCGGTCCGGAGGGGAGAGGGAAATAATATGAAATACCTTTTACTAGATAATTGTCATCCGACTCCAAATAATTGTTGCTCTTATATGTACTCTTACAAACACGTTTTAAATGCCATTTTTTATTACACTTTTGACAAAAATAATTCGCATATCGACATTTATCTCTAGTATGGTTCTTATCACAAACCGAACAAGATGTGTTTGTCGCTGTAGTTTGACGAACAGCATTTTCTTGGGCTCGTAAAGCGAACACCGGTTGTGCTGTCGCTGATGATGTGACTAGTCCCTCATCTTGCAATGACCTTTCAACTGCAACTCAAGCTCATTGTACACTTTGTGCTAACTCCAACGCTTTGTTCAATGTTAAGCTATCGATATTTACACTAAAAAGCTTTTCTTTTTCCTTGAAATTTGCCAATCCCAGCACAAACTTGTCCCTTAATGCCGTCTCCAGTTCTATTTTAAAACCACAAAACTGAGCAAGATGACGAACCCGAGCCGCCTATTCAGTTAAATTTTCGCCTGGTCTTTGTTCTGCTTTATAAAAAACATATCTTTCCGCAAATGTACATTTCTTTGGGGAAAACTGGATGTCAATCTTTTCAATAAGAGTCTTATAAGCTAAATCTTCTAGTTTTAACGGAAAAACCAAGTCCGTACCAACCGAACTAGGCGATATGTATCTTCTGCTAATGAGGTAAGCAAAGAAGCTCTTTTCATAACTCCTGTTTTATCAGTGTCATCATGATAATTATTTGCCATACAAAACTGGACAAATCGCCTCTTAAAATATCCCACTCTTGCATATGGTGATCAAATGTGAGGCTGTTGCCGAACAACACATTTCCTTTATTCGAAATTATTTCTTGGTATTTATTTCACTTTAAATATTGCACTCAATAATACGTGAATAAGATCCTCGTCGCCAAATATTGTGTATTTATGGGGATTTCACCACTAAAACACAATTTGCATTCATACCTTTTTATTTATTGACAACTGTCAGATGTTATACATTTATATATTTATATATTTAACTTTTAAATACCCGACGTTTAATATAATAAATAAAATTAAATCCCAACCCAAGCATACAACTGCAAGACTTCATGATACCATAAGTTCATACTGTGTAGATCGGAACAAAAGTTAAATTTTAATCTATGGTAACCGCGGTTAACTATGACATCTGGACGTTGAACATCTCAGTCCTTCCCGTGACCATGGGTGCTGTAAAGCTCTCGAAACTTCGGGTATTTAAAAAGTTAAATATAAGCGATAAATTCCGTAAAAACTAGTATTATTTCAATGTGTAGTGTTCGCGTAAATATAAGAAATTATTATTTCAGATGTTAATTTTCTTCATAAGCCTACAATATGGCTTTCATACTCTACAATTTTATAGAACTACAAAAACTAAAAAAAGTTTCTAGATATGTTAGAGAAACTTTTTATAACACATGTTTTCACATTTCTCTTATAAAATTTTGATCACAACTTCTAAATGGATTGTCCGATTTTCATAATTCCAATTGAAATATTAGTTCTATACTTAAATATATCTTTTGATGATAATATATTAAAATATATCTACAAAAGAAATTCTTTTTCAACTTATGTAATTATATAAATATTTTAACAACATTCAAAATATTCTTCAAATTTACTTTAATCAATCTACTTAGATTACAATAGGAAATCCAATATCAAATTCAATTTAAATAGTCTAATTGGAGTAAAGAAAACATAGATAATATCTAACAAAGCTCTTTACATCCTAATTAGTAACTTATAAAACTTTCTGACTCGAAACGTTGATATTGGAGCCTATATTACCTCAGCTCAAATTCTAATTTCGCCCTCACTTCCCCGCGTGTCTTATGCTAACTAATACATGTTGGTAAGTCGTTAGATTATTCATTAGGTTTATCATATTTGTGTCTGTTTCTTTACGCCAACGCAGTCGCTTCTTATTTTTAGTAGGGTTATTTCCCATTTTATTTTACGTCGTCCTGTTGCGTAATGTGTATTCTGGTTGTAAGTAACATAACTTTCCCAGCTTTCGAAAGCCGAAGCGATACTGTGCGGGGATGTCGGGTCGGGCGACAAGGAACATGTTTCAGGACGCCGATAGTTTAGATAATTTCTATTTACAGTGAAAATAATGTTAATTAAAAAAAAATAAGAACAAAAGCCCTGTTTTATAGTTAGTATGAAAAGTGTGATGATCTAATTTAAAATATTTTTTGAATACCAGCCGTTTATTGTATTTAAATTAATCCTCAAATTTACCATACATTTATTTCAAAATTAATATACATTTTGAAAGAGCATGTAATATATATATATATATATATATATTACATGCTATTTCAAAATGTATGTTAATCTTATCTTAGAGTCATAAGAGCAATTCAATCAAGGTCCGAAAGAATCCCTTAGAGAACAAAAAATAATTATATTAACTTTGCCCTCTCAACGTATCATACAACGTACCCTCGTCCTTCATTTTACTTTATTATCGGCTAAACACTGCAGAAACCAAATGATT